TAGTAGTAGTCATATAGTAGTATTATAGTAGTGTAGTCGTAGTCCGTAGTCGTAGTCCGTTAGTCGTAGAAGTGTAGAGTAGTACTAGTAATAGTAAGTAGTAGTCGTAAGTAGTAGTAGTAGTAGTAGTCGCGTAGTAGTAGTAGTAGTTGTAGTAGTATAGCAGTAGTAGTAGTAAGAGAAGTAGTAGTAGTAGTAGTAGTCGTAGTCGTAGTCGTAGTCGTAGTCGTAGTCGTAGTCGTAGTAGTAGTAGTAGTAGTAGTAGTAGTAGTAGTAGTAGTAGTAGCAGCAGTACTACTACTACTACTACTACTACTACTACTACTACTACTACTACTACTACTACTACTACTACTAGTAGCCCTGAGTCGCCGAAAGATCGTATCAAGGCGCCCAAGATGGCCTCCAGACGGCCGTAGCGCCAAGAGCAGCGGAGAGCAGCGGCAGGACGTCGCGTCGGCCAGGCCAACTAGACGCAGCACAGGCGGCCAGGGGGCCGCAGCCTCAGGGGAGGCCAGTGATGCCGATCACGTCGACGGACGCGAAGGGCGGCGCGCTGGGGCCAGACCGCCGCGCAGCGCCTTGCGGCGAGCCGCTGGGGCCAGAACGCCACGCAGCGGCTGCCCGTGCCAGGAGGGGCCGACCTTCAACCACTTCTCCGTCGCCTCCTGCGTCCCGCATTCCACGGCACCGAAGGCGCTCTGAGCGGGCCAATGGGCGGTGGCTGCCCTTCCCGCCGCAGCTCGGCCAGCCACGTCCGCAGGCACACGTAGTCGTAGCGCCGCATGCAGTCCGACACGATCCTCTGCGACCGCGTCAGCGTGTGGCGCCACCTGTAGTAGGCCCGCCTCGCGGGCCTGCCAGTCCCCCAGGCCCGCTCGCAGATCTCCTCGGCCATCTCCTCGGCCGTCCTCCCACGCGCCCGCAGCCTGGTGGCGAAGCGCGGCTGGGACAGGATCTGCGTGACGTAGCCGACGCAGTGGTCGAGCCACTCGCTGTAGCACTCCATCGTCTCGCCGACCTCGGGAGCCTGGGTCCAGTACCGCGCCCATCCAGCGACCTGCAGCTCAAGCCTGGGGAGCGTCAAGAAACCGCGGGGAGCGCCAAGAAACCGCGGGGAGCCTCAGGAGGCCGTCCAAGAGCCTGAACAAGCAAAAACCTCCCAGGCATTCGTCACCCCAGGGCCTCCTGGAACGCCCCGGCGCCCAATGAATTGGCGAGCTAAAAACGTGCGCCGAGCCAAAGCGGGAGCGCAATTTTGATAAAATTTCGCTCGGCGCCCAAGCGAGAAGGTCATTTCATTCACTTCGAGCGGGGGGGGAGGGGGGTGCGCCGCGCCCAATTCTTGCCATGCACTTTTGCGGGGTGGACGACAAGAACAGCTATGTGGGCAGGGATAATCAGCATGGCATGCATGGCATTGCTTCTGACAAATAAGGTGGCCCCTCCCGCCTTGCGCGCGCGATGTGCGCCGCGCCCCATTCCTGCCACGCATTTCGCATCGTCGACGACAAGACAGGCCATGATGAAAGGGAAAACGGCAACTCTGTATTGTCTTTTACAGTCAGGATGGGAGGGCCCGCAGCCCGCATGTACGTCCGCACCGTCGGCGACAAGGCAGGCCATGCTGAGAGGAAAAAACAGCAACTCTGCATTGATTGTTTACAGTCAGGATGGGCGGGCCCGGATTGACGGCCGCGCGCGATGCGCGCCGCGTCCCATATGTGCGCCGCGCCCCATTGCTGCCACATATTTCGCACCGTCGGCGACAAGGCAGGCCATGCTGATAGGAAAAACGAAGACTTTGTATTGGTTTTTTACAATCAGGATAGGCGGGCTCAGATTGACTGCCGCGCGCGATGTGCGCCGCGTCCCATTCCTGCCACGCTTTTCGCATCGTCGACGACAAGAAAGACGATGTTGAGAAGAAAAACGGCCACTTTGTATTGATTTTTTGAAGTCCAGATGGGAGGTCCCGGATCGGGTTGCTATCGGCCGGAATACGAGGTAGGTGGGGGTATATGATAATAAGGAACTAGGATGGGGGTGCGTTCCGAAGTTACGTCTGCGATCTGAGAAAAATCGTCATCGTCGTCGTCGGCATCTTCGCCGCCGTCATCGTCTGCCTCTGCGTCACTTTCCGCCTCTTCGTTTCAGAGAGGGCGTGAGAGAGGGGGGGATGGAGGAAGGAAGACATGAGTGGAGAGAGGGAGGGACGACGACGGCGACGACGACAACGACGGCGATGACGACGACGACGGCGACGACGACGACGGCGGCAACGACGACGACGACGGCGACGATGACGACGACGGCGACGACGTCGTCCTCCCCCATCCCATCTGGGGTGGGGGGGTGGGGGGGGCCCGCCGAGTCCTGGGACCCATCCCATCTGGGGGTGTGGGTCGGACCTGGAGCAAGGATCATGTATACACTGCCACTGGGGCCTTCAGCGGAGCTACCTACGGGGGCACAGCGTTTGAGGGGTGCATTAGATTGCTGATGATGATGGAGGAGAAGGGAGGGGGAGGAGAAGGAAGGAGGAACGTGAGGCGCTGTCACTTCAAAACGAGGACCCGCCACCACAGGATGTTTGGGAAAGGGCCAATGGCGGCAACCAGCGATCGCGGCCTATGAGGGCAAAACAAACTAGCGGTATGCGACAACAGCGAGCAATCGCGGCATGGCAACATACTCGCTAAAGATTGCAACGAACTCCTGCGATAAACAAAACAAGGAACAACTGCGATAACCAGCGTTCGCGACACTGGAAGCAGCGGCAAGGCAGGGTAGCGGCCAGCGGGGGCATTAGTGCTCGCGGCAATCCTGGGCATCTCCAGGGGACTGATGCAAGTACCCCTGAGCGAGTGCGCCAGTTCGGGGAAATGATCGAAGTAGATTTGCCTGAGCTTCGGACTACCCATGCAGCTGCGAAGTGGTGACGCCATGGTATCAAGCCTTGATCGCAAGCGCCTTCTTCGGATGGAAGTGCGACGATATCGGCACGGCCTCCATGCCAGGGCCGTCCATGGCGGCATCCGTGTAGTCCCATTTGACGGAGCGTGGGTCCTGCATCCCGCCGAACGTGGCGCCGAAGTGGAAGCTCTTCCGCTGCCGCTGGTCCGATGCCCGGAGGAAAAAACAAAGCGAGACAACGGCGGCTCGCACGCCTGGCCCGATGCCGCTCGGAATCGGTCCCTGGACCGCTCCCGGGGTCCATCCTGACCCGCCTTTCGGGGAGGATCCAGCCGTGGCGACGAGAAGCCTTTCGGGGAGCCCGAAGAGCGCGACAAACGCCAGGGAGGACCGTCGCTGTCTCGACTGGCCCTCCTCCGAGATACGCGTCGCGCGACCTGCACCTTCTTGTAGAGGGCCCGTGCCTCTTCAATGCTGCCGTCGATGTCGAGCAACCGCTCGAGATCTAGGGACGCCTTTCGCATGGGGGAAGCGGCTCCTGAGTGAAACGGGTCCTGGACCCGGGAGCCTTCCCCCCAAAACCGAGTCTTTCATCCTGCGCCGTTTTCTGAAAGGCCCGAGGCCCGTGGAGGGCCCCGAGCGCCAGAAACCGGCGAAAAGCATACAAACCAATTTCCCTCAGGGCCCGATCCCAGACCCCTGGCGTCGTGATTTGTTCACAACGTCGATCCCCAGATGTCGCGCTGAGTCGTGATTTGACGATCACGAGCACCGGTAAGGGCCCTCGGGGGCCGAAAATAACGAAAAACATCGCGTCGCCATTCGCTCACAACTGAATATCGTTTAACCGATCCCCATCCCCAGCGGCGTGGCCTCGGCCCCACTGGCCGATTTGCCCCCCTACATGGGGATCTAGGCTGTTCCCTTCGGGCTTCGAGGCGTGTATCCCCAACTAGGGGGGGTGATTTGGTGGGGGTCTCGAAGGGGGATGGGGGTGGCGATGGGGATCGGTCAAACGACACCGAATAGCGTCCCTCGGGACCCGCTTCCCCCAGGGGCGAGCGCCTGCACGAAGTCCTTCTGCTGCGCGAAGGCCTGCGCGCGCCGGAACAGCGCCTTGCGGCTCTCCGGCTCGGCCGCGAGCACCAGGTCGCACGCCCGCTTGGCGCCCGCGGGATCAGGAGGAGCAGGGAGCGGCACAGACACACATCGGAGAGACGTACACCCTGCGAAATGCTTAAGAAATGATGGGTTAAGAAATTCATAGTCTCAGAACTTGAATAAAAACCCAAAATTTCTATCAAAATCTTGGGATTTACATTGAAACATTAAGAATAATCGAGACTCTGGTCGAAAACTTAAGTTTTCTTAAGCATCGACTAAGGTGTAGGACTCGGGTCACCCCGGCGGAGGCAACTCGGCCGCGCGAGGGAGGGTGGGGGTAGGGGGGGAGGCTTCTCAGAAGCAGGCCTGCTTCTCAGAGAAGGCGTGGGCCTTGTCTGTAGGTGGAAGGTCCGCGCCTTCGACGAAGCAGCCTCCTTCTAAGTAGCCTTCCCCCCTCCCCCTACCCCCTCTGCGCGCCGCCGAATAACGAGGCTCGGGTTGGCCTGACCGGGCCGTCAGGGAAATGACGAGACGCAGTCTAAAATTTGATGAGACGTAGGCCGCTGCAAACGTCCCACAACAAAAACTGGACCGTCGAAGTCCCGGACGGACTCGTCAAACAGCGTCGGCAAGCCCGAGTTCCGTCGAACTCGAGCCTCGCGCTTCCCCGAACAAACTTTGGTAGCTCCGCGCAGATCTCTTGGATCGGCGCTGGACCCCCCTGGCGGCGCTTCCAGCACCGCACCTGGCGCGCTCTGGCACGCCAGGAAGTGTCGGGGATCTTCTGACCCGTATTAATCCAGACCAGTGTCGGTCAGTCAGGCCTTGCAGAATCCTGTAGAATCCTGCAGGATCCTGCACTCAGACCCTGGTCAAGGCGAAAAGATCCTGCAAGATCGTGCACCCAGACCCAGGTCAGTGCGACCCTGGCCCTGCAGGACCCTGCAAAATCGGGCGCTCTGGCTGACCCCCGCCTGCATTGGCCCCCTCGCAAGGCTCCCGAAGAGCGGGAAGCAGCGCCGATCCGGGAAGTTCGCACGGAGCTCCAGAGGTTCGTGCCTATGCCGCCTGCTGTCCCTCGAGGGATCGCCGAACTTCAGGCAGCAGGCCGCCATGTTGAGCCGGCAGGCGCTCCTGAGCTCCCTGCAGCTCTGGGCGAGCTCGGGCTTGCCCAGGAACCTGTCCGGCGCCATGCTCAAGCCGGCCTGAGAGAACTGCGCGTTTTTGGGCGTGGCATTCGACTCCCACCTAGCCGCCTGAGAGAACTGTGTGTTTCGACTTAGGACAAACACGCAATGCTCTAAGTCTGCTTCGAAGCCGATTCTTGTTTGGAAGCCGAATGCGACTTTTGAAAAACACGCAATTCTCCCGGGACGACTTGAGCATTGAACCTGTCCCTCACTGGGCTGACGGTACTCCCTTTGGGGCGGTCCAGGTGGTGGAACAACTCCTCAACGCGCCGGTACCGCTCGTGGGCAAGCCGGAAGCGGCCCTTCTTGAACAGCGCATTGGCGATCGCCTTGCGCCGCTCTCCAAACTTCAGCCTCTCCTCCTCCGGGAAGTTCCAGACGTCTGGGCCCTTCGTGTAGTCGAGGAGCGTCACGCGGTACGTGGCCCCTCCCCCTGGGGCAGCCTCCAGCTCGGGCTGGCCGCCGGCGCAGAAGGCAGGATCCGAGCAGGTGACCAGCGCCGTCTCGTGCTGCCGCATCTCGAGCACGGCGCACTCGAGAGCGTCGCAGACCTGTCCGTTGCCAGGGACCACCCACTGCTCGATGGGAGCATCACCGCCGAGCGGGTACAGTCTGGTGCCGTCGTCGGTCGTGACCTCCTCCACGCGTAAGAGCGCCGTCCCCTCGTCGGTCGGAGTGTCGCACCATGCCCCCACGCCCTCCTTCACTACCTCTTTGAAGACCTTTCCCCCTCCCTTCTGGAAGGAACAATCTCGCGTCTGGTAAATCTCGAAGAGCCTTGCCTCGCACACAGCACGCGTCTCTGCCCCGTGCTCCCTAACCTGAGGCGATCCAGGGAGGAACAGGTCGCCCAGGGTGCATTGCATAGAAGCTATCTGGCCCCTGCGCAGCTTTGCCAACATGCGCTCGAGCGCATCCGCAGTGAGTTGTCCGGTGCCTCTCGGGGGCGTCCCAGCGGAGGCAACCGAGAAGGGGGTGTCACAGATCATGGCCAGCGGCATGTGCTCGGGCGAGGGGGGGGGCCAGGGGACGCATTGCAAGAAGAAGAGGGGGCCACGACACCGGGGAGATATCCTGCCCCCCCCCACCATGATGTCCACCGCCCCTAGCCTAGTCGTCACCCCCCTCTTGGACACCCCGAACCTCGGGGGCCGCCCCCGATGACGTACTCGAAATCCGGGCACATGTCCACGATCGGCGCGTCCTCCCCCGCCAGGACGACGGAGTAGCCGATGCGCACGCTGTCTCCGCACTCCTGGGGAAACCCACGGGTACCGACACCGCTACTCTCCAGAACTCTCCTGGGGAGCCTTCTGATCAACACTGCGAGGCGCATCCAGCGGTGGCGAGGGCCTCCCAGGAAGCCCACGAGGGCAGAAGAAGAAAGAGCGGCATCAACATAGATTGTTGGCGCCCCGCGCGGATTTCTGAGGTCTGCGCTGACCCCCTTCCCTGGCGCGCGGAGCGCGCCTAGGGCGGGGCCGGAGGCGCCGCCAGGGTGGCCCAGCGCGGATCCAAGAAATCCGTGCGGAACGCCGAAAGTTTAGGTTCATGCTGCTGTTTTCTTCTTCGAAAGGGGGAAGAGGGAATGCCAGCAGGATCGGTACCTCTTCCTCATCTGAGCTCCGGGCTGCGCTTGCCAGCGGCCTCCTCGGTGACGATCACATCCGGAGCCCTGCGAGGCTCTGGCGGCTCTGCGCCGAGGCGGGGGCGTTGCTCCGCCTCGCGCACCCTTTTCTTCGCCTGCTCCGACTCGATCAGCCGATCCCGCAGCTCGTGCATCTCGTTCATCATCTGCTCGGGTATCTTCGGACCCTTCGGCTGCTTCTCGAACTTCGTCACGAGGCCGTAGCTGGGGCTCGGTGCTGGCGCGGTCCACGTGGCGGAATCCACCTTCGCGGACGCGAGGGCGCCGCCGTTCTGATCAAAGAGGACATCTTGTCCCCGGGTGCCGTCGAGCACGCGGGCGACGCCTCTCCAACAAGCTACCATCGCTGATGGCCGTGGGTTCCAGGTCTTGTCCGAGCGTGGGACGCCGGGTTGATTCGCGCGACCGCAGAGGCAAGAGTTGCGTGCGAGGCGGAGGCGGGCTGCCAGCTTGAACAAGACCCGGCTACAGACGACAAGCAGGAAGAAACCAAGACAAGGACAACATCGGCCCAGGATGAATCGGGGATCTCTGAGATCTGGCCATTCCGAAAGATGTGTAAGGCGCCGCGGCCCTCTCAGAGCGATCCAGAAAGCTCTGAGAGCGTTCCAGAACGCTCTGGAAAGATACACCCTGTCCTAACCCCCCCGGCCGAGCAAGGACGATGACCATGATGATAATCCACCATTGCGCTGCGCCGCGGGTGGTGTGTTGGACCCCTCGTCTTTGAGACCTACGACGTTTGCGGAAGAATAGCTCGGGCTAGCATTCCGCGGATCGAGCCCAACATGCATCGAATGTTGGCGTCAAATCGAAATATCTTCCCCCTGCCGAGTAAAGCCCAAAACAATGCTTGCACTGATGAGATTGTGTGCCTCCTCCAAGCAGTCACCAGCAGAAGTACCGTGCGGAATCCTCAAGGGGTTGGACATGGAATGCAGGCTCTTAGACAGCGCAAGGCATCAGTACATTCCCACTTTGAGTCCCACATCGGCCATCTGGGCGGATGTTTTCTGAGGGGTGTCATCTTCGAACCCACTTCTTCCCCTTCGGGGAGGGGTTCACCCTGTCCCTCCCCTCGCCCTCTCTCCCTGGGTCTCGTTGTGATCTTTGTGGTGATAGTCTTCCTTGTGGTCAGACCACAGCGCACCAGAGGTTGTATTAACCAAGCATGGCCGAGAGGATTGCTCTTATATGAGCACAAAAGACTCTCCTTGGGTCTGGAAGGGGGCCGCGCGCGAAGCGCCCGCGATGGCCCCAAGAGGGTACCATTATGGGCTCCGAGAGCCCAAACTAGGCCCCCGAGGCGCTCCCAAGAGGCCCCCGAAAGGCCAAACGGCTCCCCAAAAGGTCTCGGGCAACTCTCGTTAGACACGACCCTAAGACGGGCCAAGAGGACCCACATTCTGCAAAAGACGGCCCAAATGCAATCCAATATGCTAATCTACTATTGGCGCTCCTGCTCCTACACTCCTACACGTGCTAGCTCCCTGCGTTTCCTCCTGCATCCATCCTTCCTCCGCCTCCTCGGCTCCCCAACCTCGGCGACGGCGGAAACGACAGCGGCTACGACAACACCGACGACGAAGATTATGACGACGACGACGACAACGGTGACAACGACGGCGGCTGCAACGATCACGACGGCGACCACACCGACGATGATGACTAAAGGACGACAACGACGACGACACCACTGACGACGACGGCGACCCCGCTCCAATCTTTGGGCACCTTCGGGGGACGACAAACACAAGAACCAACTTCAAAACGTCAACGGAAATAGCTGGCAACGCCGCGCTACCCAACGCGCGCTACAAAACCCCGATCCGCTGTCGCTGTCGCCGTCACCCGAGGAAGGGGCCGTGACGAAAGGGTGACATTGGCAGTGGCAGTGCCGAACCGTGTTTAGAGTCCAGCGAGGCATAAGAGTGTAAGCGGCTCAAGGGGGCACAAAGAAGGCCCCGAGGCTGCCCAACAGGGCCCCGCGATGCCCCACGATGGCCCGACGGACCCCACTACGGGCCAAGTGGCGTGTCGTACGCCACTGCGGCACTACGGCATGTTCGTGTCGTGCCGACTTCGGCGTTGGTTCCTGACACGGCGGGGAGCGTGCCACCTTCAACGATGGGCCGCTTCTGGAACATCCGATCGTTCAATATCGACCGAGTCTGGACCGCCGGCTGGGTTCAGCGTTGAACGCCGGCGGCGGGGTCGCCGACGGTGGATACGACGCGAACCTACCTTAGACTGACACCCAACACCGCCTCTTGTCCGATGGGTCGAACGCCATTAGACAGAGGTGGCACCTTGCCATCGCTTGGACGTCCATTCCCCGTGTATGTTTCGGTTTCGTGCGTTCATTGTTTGCCAGATGATCCAGGATGCTCCTCGATTCGGGAAACCAAGAGGTACCGATACCGCTAGCCCCCAGACCTCTCCCGAGGTGCGTTCTGACAAGAATTTCAAGGCGAATTCAGCGGTCGCGACGAGGGCCGCCCAGGAGGCCCAAAAGGGGGAAAGCGAGAGAATAATAGCAGCATGAGTACCTTTCCTCCTCTGACCGATTATGATAGGCACGTCCCGCTACGTCAAGAGGGTGGCCAAAAAGAGCAAAGTAGCTACACGGATAGGTTCTAGGGTACATTCCAAAGTACCTACGAAAAACGTAGAAAGTAGCAACCGAAAAAAAATAGGTTCCAAAGTACCAACGGCTTTTTGCAATGCGGCGTCGCCGATGCAACGCCGCAAAGACTGGTGCATCGATTCGTTGGCCGACCAAATCCACGCCCATCGAAACGGACGGGGCGCGCGCGTGGGAACTCGGCGACGGCCTGCTGAAACAACCAGCATCATGCCTCATAATGAAGAGCCGCCCGCGCTAGCTGGAAACGAAACAACTGAAACCATTCGCTGGGACAGCAAACCCACAGACTGCGCGCGCCAAAAAGGCAGGAGCTATAATGGCGACGTTACGTCGCGGGGGCGGCTGCGCCCATAGTTGAACGTCCGCGCGCACCGCCGCGCAACTGCCAGACCGTGATCGCGCGGTGACCCTGGTCGGGGATCACCGAGCGCATCGCGGCACTTCTGCCGCTGCGCCGCTGCCCAGCTAAGTCCTGGGCGCGCGGGGGTGCGGCGTTTCTCGAGCGCTACGAAAAAGCCAGAGCAAACCTGGCTGATAGTGCAAGTCGGGAGCGCCCACGGACGAAAACGACCAATGCGGGCGATGCAGCAGCCTGCGAAACGCGCTCGGAATAATTGCTTGCACGGCCAAGCACTTGCCCCACTGCACTCAGGAATTGTCCTGGGCAATGCATGGTGCGGTTTCGCAGTGCCCGCCCGATGGCCTCGCCCCCGTGACCCCGCCCGCGACGCCCCGCCCGCGCGGCCGCGACCGATAAGCCGAACTTACAAAATCTGTGCCGTCCGTGAGACCACCAACGGGCCCACTGGCGAGCGGCCCCGCACGCGGGGCAATACAACCGAACCCAGTGCGCGCGCCCTTGCCGAGACGGTCCCGCCGACGAGCCCCCGCCAGCATGATCTAAACCAAACGGCATCGTCATGGGCCCCGCGGGGCCCCGCCCATGTTGCCCCGCCAGAGGGGCCCCGCCCTCGCAACCCCGACCCACTGACACCGCCAACACGACGGTATCCGCGGGCCCCCCTGCACCGCGGGGCCGAGCCCCTCGGGCACCGCTCGTGCCTCCACTGCAACGAGCCCCACCCGAGCGGCCCCGCCCACTCGGCCATGCCCAAAGGCCGACGCCCACGCGCCCCCCCCGCCCATGAATCTACGCCCACTCGCCGACGAGGCCCACCCAGCGAAACGACATAGCCACGCGCGCGCGGACCGCGTGGCTAAACCCATCGGGGCCCATGCCCCGCGACCAGCTGATAAGCACAGCCCGCGCGCCCCTTGTTTACAGGGAGGGGTAAAGGCAACCGTACTGGCCCGCGCATGACCGATCTCGCAATCGGTCCACTATCGATGTCGCTATCGATTTCACTATCGATATGACTACGCTCTCACTATTGGTCCCACCATCGATCTAACTATCGCTCTCGCTGTCGATCTCATGATCGGCTTCACGATCAATCTCACTATCGACCTCACTCTCGGTCACTACAGATGTCACTAGCGACCCCACTACCGATCCCACGATCGATCTCACGATCGGTGTCACTATCGGTGCCCCCTTATCGGTGCCACTACCGATACAACTATCAACCTCTCTATCAAACTCACTATCGATGAGAATCGATCTCAATATCGATCTCACGATCGATGTCGGCATCGAGCGTGCCATCCGACATCCTCCGACGAGTTGCTGAGCAACTCAGCGCGCTGGCTTGCTGGGACTGACCTCGAGAGCGGGCTTGACGGCTGGCTCGGCCATGCAATTGGAGGAGCCGCGCGCCTCCTAATCAATGCAACTCGCATGGCAGTGCTTCGCTCGGCGGGCTGGCGGCAAAACGCGAAGCGTCGCCTATGTGAGAGGACGAAGATGCGGCTCGAGAAGATGGCAGAATATGATGAACTGAATGTTCCTGAGAGCACTGCGCTCTCTTCTCCTGGGTGCCCCATGTCACCGTAACCCATGTCCCCGACAGCAAGGCGTCCTCGCCCAGCTCAGCCCTTGAGGGAGCACATCTTCGACGCTCACTCCATGACGTCCTGGCGCATCGCCTTCTCGACGCCCGACTGCTCCTTGATCTGCTTCCTGTAGTTGCTGATCTCGCGGCGCAACTTGGGCGGGTTGCTTGAGTTCTCCTTGTAGGTGTGGATGAGCAGGGCCGTGTACTTGGTGGCCATGGCGTTCCAGAGCACCTTGTTCGTGTCGTCGATGACGCTGGTATCAACCTGGTACTCGAAGACCTCGGACCACTCCAGCGCCTCCTCGAAGGCATGCTGCACCGCGTCGATCTTCTCCTGGTAGGCCGAGCCGTCGATCAGCATGATGGTCTCGAAGGCGCGCTCCAAGACCTCCTCAATCCCCCCATTGCCGTCGGGCATCCCGCAGTCCCACGGGTCGCCCTCGTCGTCGCCGCCACGGCTGATCGGCCTGAGAACGTTCGTCTTCTCAGAGAGCACCCTGATGGTAGACGTCTTAGCCACCAAGCTCGCCGTCTCGGTCTTCTGGCCAGCGTTAGTCGCGTCAGTCTCCAAGCCGCCCATGCCCGAGACCATGCCAGCTGACTTGATGGCCTTGAGCGTTGCGATCATGCCCTGGATGATGTTCTTCGCATTGCCGTGCCGCAGTCGGCTCTCGTCGTCGGACGCCAGGCCATCCCAGCTCGCGACGTGGGTGTTGAGCGGTGCCCAGTTCTTGATCATGTCGGTCGCAGCCTTCAGCTTTGTACCCGAGGCGTCGGTCAGCCACTCCGCCTCTGCGAGCTTCAGGAGGATGTCACAGTAGGATTCCGCATGGTCAGGCTGGGTGCAATTCATGGCGATGCCGTC